AGAAACAAAACAGGAAAAAAAAAAAAAAGAGCAAATAGTATGCCTCTATATGCATTCAAACTCCACACTTCTTTCTCTGGATGTGGATAGCATTTTCCATCACGAGACTTTTGGAAATGTCTTAGATCCTTGCATTGCAGAGAAGAGTTAAGTCTATCAAAATCAGTCATCACATAGTGTGGCTGTTATTGTGTACAACATTCTCTTGGTTCTGCTCCCTTCACTCAGCATCAGACCATACAAGTCTTTCCAGGTTCTTCTGAAGTCAGCCTGCTCATCATTTCTTATAGCACAATAGTACTCCACCACATTCATATACCACAACTTGCTCAGCAATTCCACAACTGATGGGCATCCCCTCAATTTTCAGTTCTTTGCCAACACAAAAAGAGCTGCTATAAATATTTTTGTACATGTAGGTCCTTTCCCCGTTTTTATGATCTCTTTGGGATACAGCCCTAGAAGTGGTATTGATGGGTCAAAGGGTATGCAGTTTTATAGCCCTTTGGGTATAGTTCCAAACTGCTCTCCAAAACGGCTGGATCATTTCACAACTCCACCAACAATGCATTAGTATTCCAATTTTCCCACACCTTCTCCAACATTTATCATTACCCTGTTTTGCCATGTTAGCCAATCTGATAGGTGTGATGTGTTACCTCAGAGTCATTTTGATTTGTATCTGTCTAATCAATAGTGACTTAGAGCATTTTTTCTTATGACTATAAACTGTTTTGATTTCTTCACCTGAAAACTGCCTGTTCATATCCTTTCAACCATTTATTATTTGGGGAAAGACTTGTATTCTTATAAATTTGACTTAGTTCTCTATATATTTTAGAAATGAGGCCTAAAAGATATGCTCTTGAAAAGTGAATAAAATCTCTGTAAAACAGCACATAGGGGCAGCTAGGTGGAGCAGTGGATACAGCACCGGCTCTAGAGTCAGGAGGACCTGAGTTCAAATTTGACCTCAGACACATAACACTTACTAGCTGTGTGACCCTGGGCAAGTCACTTAACCCCATTGCCTAGCCAAAAAAAAAAAAAAAAAAAAAACAGCATGTAAAAGAGCATCCTGCCTTAGATGCACCAGGGGAAATGAATAAGTAAAGGAATCATACATTGAGTAATTCTGGTAGATGAGAATATGAAATTTTATTTTATATTATTTCATACTGAGGGTTCCACAGGGACTCCTCTTTAAAGGGAGGTGTTAACAATTAGGGAATCATCAGGATCTCTGTAAAGTAGCTCTGGATCTTCTAAGGCAAGAAAAAAGTGAAAAATGCCTCACATTCTAAGATAAACAAAGCACATTATTTATGTAAATCAGGCATTTAGTTTTAACATTAAAAAAAAGTAGCAGAAAGAAACTTACCAACAACCTCAAAAATCTCTTGTCATAAAATTCAGAAGATTTGATGACAAACATTTTCTTCCCATGGCCTCCACTATGTCGAACTGGGGCTAGAAACAAGAAAGTAAGCAATCAGCACTGAATAAGTGTGTCAAGAGTGGAGAGATGGCCAGCTGGATGGCAAGAAAGGCCAAAGTCAAGTCCAGTCTTAGATATCCAGGCTGTGACCCTTGGTACAGGGGGGTTAGGCTAGTAAACTAATCCCAAAAGAACATGAATATATTATTACACCCATTAGGCACTTAGGGCATTTATTCTCAGGAATTATATTTAAGGGATATTTCCTTTTTTTTTTTCCGGAGGAAATTGGGGGAGGGGAGTCCCTACTCTCTGTGCCCCTTTGGAGCTAGCCTTGCTATAGCTAGCCCATTGCCAGGACCAGCTAGCCCCTGCCCTGGTTTGATAAATCTCCCAGATTCATGCTCCTCTAGCCACTCCCATCCTCAATTGCCTGGTAGCATTCTTCTCTCTTCCCTCTGCTCCAAAACATAAAGAAACCAAAGACTGTTTTCACTGGCTCTACCCCATTGCAAAGTTCTACTGCCCAAGCAATCTAGGTCTCCTTCCCAAACCCCATATATGATAATAATACAACCACTCCCTGGGCCAGCACTAGCAGCCAGGAATACTCAAGGTGGGCAAAAGGGACAAATAAGGAATTGTGGGAAGCATTCTGCGGATCTGTGCCATCTGAAACATGAATGCTGGCATTCCCTATGGTGCAGATCACAGCTCATCTCTACCTCTAACCCTGAGTCCCTCTCCATCTCACCTAAAACCTTTTAGGATCTGTTCACCCAGCAAAGTAGGGACCCTTCTCTAGATTTCTTCCCATTGTGTTGGCATCACTAGGCCAACTATGCTGTGCCCTGGTTATCTCTCCCATGTTCTTACTACAGTAGACCAGCCTACATGCCCTCTTTTCTGGTCATACACCACTCTCTTCAATAACATCTTTTGTGTCAAAACACATGTGCATGTGCCCATGAACGTAAGCACTGGGACTGTGGGTAGTCCTGTGTCATAATGTGAGCAAAGGAACTGGGATGGAGGGCAGGTGGTAAGAGTTTGAGAAAGGGCCACTCCTGGGGGAGAAGGCCATCTCTAAACAAAGTGGCAGCAGTAGCCACGCACCAACTGAGCATACAGTTATCTCAGGCCAGAGTAAGGCACAAAGTTCAAACCATTTGTGCTAAGTCTGGAATAGGAAAGATGATAACCAAGCATCAAATAAAAGCAGGAAGATGAAAATGTGGGTAGATGGGCAGGCAGTTACAAACCATGAAATTCTAAAGAAACTAAGGGACAGAGCAAAGAAGGCAGAACAGATGAAGAACACCAAAAATAATTTGATATTGAGGCGGTCAGGATTTTATTACATACTTCTCACTCAGGCAAAACCCCATCCCTCTGAATAAACTCAGGGCTTGCTGGTAAGTGAGTACATGTAGTAAGGGAGTGCATCTAAGCAATCCCAACAGTATATGGGAGGAAGATTTAAATATAACTACACATACATATATTTGTACAACCTTAACTTGCTTTCATCTTTATCAAAACTCTGCTCATCCTACTTTTGGCCTTGTCTACTCAGTTTTCAGCTCACCACTCTTAACATGGTCTTTAAATACACTGAATGACTCCCTGCCAATTCCATACTGAGTAAGGGATACATTATATGAACTCAAGAAAAAGACCTGAGTGAAATATTTAAAGTTGTAAACTGTAGATAAAGAGCATGATAACTGGAAACAGAAGTGGAGAATTTGGGTTCAAATCCAGACTCTGCTGCTTACTATCCATGTGACCTTGAGCAGGCCCCTTAAACTCTTCGGGCTCACATGGTACAGTGCAGAGTGCTGGGCCTGAAGTCACAAAGAACTGAGTTCAAATCCTAGCCTCTGACACTTCCTACATGTGTGACCTTGGGCAAGTCACTTAACCCTGTTTGCCTCAGTTTTCTCATCTGTAAAATTATCTAGAAAAGAAAACGGCAAACCACTTCAGTGTCTTGCCAAAGAAACCCCAAATGGGGTCACAAAGAGTTGGACACAACTGAAATGGATATGACCTCTAGCTTGAATTGAATTGACTCAAAATTCAGTCCTCTTTCTACTTCATTGCATTCCAAGAGTCCTGGGTTCTAGTTGCTGATACCTCAGAGAAATTGACAAAAGCAAAAAGACATGGTAATAGAGACGAAAGAAAACAGGGACTGGGTTATCAGGAGACTTGTCCCAGCTCCGCCACTATCTTACAATGTATATGGTAAGGGAAAATCAACTCGGTCAAGTCAGACTTTAAAGCCAGCTCGGTATCACTCCCTTGCACCATTTATATTCATAATGTGTACAGAAGATAAAAACAAGCCAGAAAAACCACCCCAGTCCTCAAGGAGTTTAGATTCTACTGGGGGATACCACCTGAGTCTTGCCTGCGCTATGGACGTTCTGGGGGCAGACTAGCCCCTAGGGCCGTGGTCACCTCTGTCCCCTTGGCTAAGGACAGCTCGGCCAAGATCCCTTCCAGAAGGCTTCTGACAAAGCCAAAGAGCTGGTTCTCCCCCAAGAGGCAAGGCAGCCTTGGAGGTTCGTGCCCAACTATGGGCACCCCATTTTAGGAACAGAATTCACAGTCTGGAGGACGGCCAAGGTGGGTAGAGGGGCTACAGACTGTGAGCTCACGGCAAGGATTCTCAAGGCTATCAAGTCCAACCCTCTCATTTTCCAATTGTAGAAACTGAGGCCCACGGAGGGGACACTGCCCTGGAGGCATTCTAGGTGGCAGTGAATGAATACCCGAATTCAAATTCTGCCCCTGACGCTTACAAGCAGTGTGACCCCAGGCAAGTCACTGCCTCGTTTCCTCGCTTGTAAAATGGGGATTAACAACACCTGCCTGCAGGAATGTAATGATGGATCGAGTGAAATAATATTTGTAAAGCGCTCTGCAAAGCCTACGGCGCTATCAAATGCTAGCTGTTTGCTCTTATTATTAGTTACCGCCCGGGGTCCCACCGCGGGACCTCCTCGGCCCCGCTGCGCTCCTCCCTCCCTCCCCGGCTCCCCGAGGCCCGGCCAAGGTCACGGAGCGGGGCCGCCGGGCCCTCCACACGCCGCCCGGCACCTACCCGCGGAGCCCGCGCCCGGGACGCTCCGGGTCAACAAGCCGCCGAGGCGCAGCTGCGGCCCCAGCCCGCGGCGGGTCAGGGCCAGGCCGGCTCCCGTCGCCGCCGAGGCCGAAGCCCGCAGCAAGAGGCTCATCGCCGCCATGGCCGCTCCCGGCTTTCTGTCAGGACGCCGAGGCCAGGAGCCACTACGGAAGCCGCGACAGCTCATCCAACCAATGAGAGGCGCGGACGGCGCGTCCGACCAAGGAGAGGCTCCGGCTGGCGGCGGCCATGGCAAGGTCGGGCAAACGGCGTCAGCCGGCATGGGAGTCAGCTACGGGCGCCGAGAGGGGAATCTCCTGACCAATCACAGGCGGCGGCCGGCGACCGCCTCAACAATCCCAGCAGCCCTGCGCGGCTCCGGAGGGGGCGGGGCGCAGGAGCCGGAAGAGGCGCGCGCGAGCGGCGGAAGCGCAGTGTGGGGGCGAGAGGGTGACGATGGCCGCGGGACGGCTAGCTTCTCTCTGGCGGGGCTTGGCGGCCTCCCTGAAGGTCCCGGTAACGTTGAACGCCTCGCTGACCCCCGCCGCCAGCCCGGGGTAGGTGATCTGGTTGGGGAGGCCGGCAGACGCAGGGCGGGGCCGTGGACTCCTCTGGGCTGCAGCTTTCTCGTCTGTAGAATGGGCGTCCTGCCAGTCCCTTCGCATCTTCCCGTAGCTCCTGTAGACCCTGGTGTCTGCAGACGTGCCAAGGTCTGGGGGGCCCTCTAGCCCAATTCCCTCATTTTCCAGATGTAGGCTCTTACAGGTCATCCCCGAGGAACCCACACTGCCCAGCCAGCACGTGGAAATGGCCAGACAGCCTCGGGCTTTTTGAGGGAGGGGGATGGTGAAGCGGAGAAGAAACTGCCCCCTTCACTTCAAGAACTCGGTAGAGTCGGGGAGCTGGGAGGCGAGACTTTGACCAATTTGTGTGGCACTTTGTGATCATAAAGCATTTCACGTTCGTTGTTTTGGTGGTCCTCCTGGAATCAAGAAAACCTGAGTTCAGATCCCGCCTCACACACTGGGGTAAATCACATTACCTTTAACCGCCCTCCTCGGTCTGCCCCAGTGTAAAATGAAGATAATAATATAGCACCTACCTCCCAGGGCTTTTCTGAGACTAAAATGAGAGGGCACTTGTAAAGTATTTTTGTACGCCTTGAAGTGCTATATAAATTCTAGGTATTATTCATAATAATATTTTATTTGTTCCTCCCAACAACCCTGTGAAATAGGTGTGGAAGTTACTACTCAGAAAGATGAAGTGACTCCTATGAATCCGCAGCTAATATATTTTAGAATCAAGAGGGGGTCTTCAACACATTGTCCCCTCTAACATTATTAGTTTCTCAGTAATCTTCAGTTGCTCCCGGTTTACTGGCTTCTTCCCTACTATGCGTAAACCTGTCCATGTCTCTCCTATCCTCAGAAAATCGTCACTTGATCCCTCCATCCCCACTAGCCTTTGTTGTATATCTCTACTCTCTTTTGTGGCTAAATTCGTTGAGAAAGTTGTCTACAATAGGTGCTTCTACTATCTTCCTTTTCATTCTCTTTTTAACTCTTTTGAGTATGTCCTCTAGCCTCATTGTTCAGCCAAAACCGCTTTCTCCAGAATTACTAACGATCTCTTAATTGCCAAATCCAGTGTTTTGTTTTGTTCTGTTTTGTTTTTTTGCCCCAGTCCTTACAGCCTTTCTAAGTTGTCTTCAGCCTTTGACAGTCAGTTACCTTCTCCTTGATACTCTCCTCTCTCTAGGTTTTCATGACATCATTCTCTCCTAGTTTTCTCCCTATATGACCACACCTCTGTCTCCTTGAATGGATCTTCACATCTTACCACTAACAGTTGGGGTCCTCCAGTGCCCTATCACCTACTCTGTTTTCTGTGTATACTGTTTCACTTGGTGATCTCATCGGCTTCCATGGTTTCAATTTTTATCTCTTCAGAGATCTACTTGTCCAGCTCTAATCTCTCCTGACCTCTCCTGACTATAGTCTTGCATCTCCCACTGCCCATTAGACGTCTCAAACTGGATGTCCTATAGACATTTTTAACTCATCTTGTCCCAAATTGAAGTTATTTCCTCCCCCCACCTCTGTCCCCTCCCCTCTTCCTAACTTCACGGTTACTGTCAAGTCTACCACCCAGTCACCCAGGCTTAAAACCTAGATGTCATCCTTGACTCCTTTCTCTCTTACCCCTCTCCACCATATCCAATTAGTTGCTGAACCCTGTTGTTTCTATCTTTGTAACATCTTTCCTATATGGCCCCTTCTCTGACACTCTGTCACCACCTTGGTGAAGACCCAGTTTAATCATGCATGGACTGTTGCCATAGCCGGTTCTTTGGTGTCCTTGCCCCAGTTCTCTCCCCATTCCATTCCATCCTCCGCTCAGCTGTCAAATTGATCTTCCTGAAGTGCAGGGGAGACCATGCCATCTCTCTATTCAATAAACCCTAATGTCCAATAAAATCCAACACCAGGATCAAATGTAAAATTCTGTTCAGCTTTTAAAGCCCTTCATAACCTGACCCCTTCCTACCTTTCCAGTTTTCTTACATTTTAGTATCGTTTCCATCTTCCCAATTACTCTGCAATCTAATCTAGTACACAGGCCTCCCTGCTGTTTCTCATATACAAAACTGCATCTCCTGACCCCAGACATTTTTACTGACTGTCTTCTATACCTAAGAAATTTCTTCTTCCTCACCTCTGCTTCCTGGATTTCCTGGCTTTCTTCAAGTCTTAGCTAAAATTGTACCTTCTACAAGAAAACTTTCTCAGTCTTCCTTAAGCCGATCGCATTCCCTCTGAAGTTATCTATAATTTACCCCGTATATTACCTTGTTTGTATATAGCTGTTTGCATGTTGTCACTCTCTTGAGAGCACAGACTGTCTTTTGCCTTTCTTTGTACTCATTTGCAGGTTTACTCTCAGTTTGTTAAACAAGAATACAGCCAACATCACACCCCTCCACCAATATAAATTAATTCATACCACTTTGTCAAGGAAAGGACTAGAAGAATTTTTTGATGACCCAAAAAACTGGGGAGAAGAAACAGTCAAATCAGGTAAGATATTTGCATTTTAAGTTTTTGCCTTTTCCTCAGATTACATCGTACTTGTACAAACTATATTCCCCTAGCAGACGATGAGCTCTTTGAGAACAGGGACAATTTCATTTTTGTCCTTGTATTCCTAGGATAGTGCCTTGCTCATCGTAGGTTTGAAGTGAATATGTAGAAGTCAGAGTTTTTTGTACTTGAATATAGACTTTACATGCTGATTATTACATCAAGCCCTTGAGCGATATAGGACCCTCCTAGATGAGGCCTGTGGTCATTTAAAAAGATGGGGGCTAGTAATCCACACCCACAGAAAAACAAGTGGCTGTGGAATGCATCTTGTCCAATTTGTAGCATGCGGTTGAATAGCCAATTAAGTTACTGCCTCAGTACCTACCTGTCTCTAGCTGCACAGTAAGCAGGGCTCGGAATTGAATTAGAGGGGGAAAACAGGCTGCATAGCACTTCAGAAAATTGCTTGGTGCTTTTTGATGATTCCAAACTGCTCCTTGTCACCAAAGCCCATCTTTTAAACACTGATGTCGTCCCTTTGTTGCTCTGTGACTGCAAATCATAGGGTGCTATGTCTTCAAAGAATCAGAAGGGCAGGTGACCCAAATCTTACTGTAAAGGCCTCCTGTGGGCATAAGTGAGCTTCAGCATGTTGCCAGAGATGACTGTCATCAGAGAAGTGGTATAAAAGATATCAAGGATGTGTATATGACCCAAAAAGTAGTCAGATTACCCATGGAAATCAGAATATAGCAGATGGGCAGCCTGAAAGAAGCCTGGTATTCATGAAATACTAAAAGAGTCCGAAAAAGGCCTCCAGCACATAGGGTTGAGACGCCAGAGAGCATTTCTGGAAGGACAGAGACAAGAATCCTCCGGGATGAAAAGGCTGGTATAGATTGTGATCTGTGCCAGCGGAGGAAGCACAAACATCAGGGAGATTGCAGAGCCCTCAGGCAATAAAGGTTTCAGTACTTCTTAGTCAAAAATAAATGCCAGCAGTTGACTTCTCATTGTTCAAGGGCTCTTGGCCCAGATTGTGTCTGGTTTTGCTTCCCTTTCCTGTTTTGGTGCCACTTGAAACTTCTGCCAGAATCAGCTAAAAGAGATGTAACTGTCAGTTTTGCTATTTGTTGGTAGCTCTGGCAAAAGGTTAAGCTCTGTGGTGTCAAATTCAGATAGGAAGGAGAAGCAGTGAAATAGTACATAAAGATAAAGAGCCTTGCAGGCCGTATATTGACCTAGTTTTAAAATGCAATACTATCTGTGTTTTATTGTATTTTTATTTATTTTGTTAAATATTTCCCAGTTCACATTTAATCTGGTTTGGACTGCACTCAGGGTACAGCGTGTTTGAAACCTCTGATTTAGAAGACTCCTTACTTTCTCTCATCCCACACTTCCAAGCAGTTGCCAAATCTTGCTATTTCAACCTTCACAACATCTCCTGTGGCTAGTTCCTTTACTCAGCTACCAGCTTAGACCATGCCCTCATCCGCTCTCACCTTCATCATTGAAATAGCCTTCTAATTGGTCTCTTGCCTCAAGTCTCTCCTGACTCCAATCCATCTTCCACCCAGCTGCAGAAATGATTTTCCTTAGCTGAGAATCTGACCATGTCACTACCCTGCCAAATAAACCCCAGTGGCAATCTGTTACCTCTAGAATCAAAGGTAAACTGATTTGAATTTAAAGCCTTTTGCAACCTGGCCCCAAACCTATCTTTCCAGCTACCATTATATATTCTTCTTGCATCATGTGGTCCAGCCTAACTTGGCTGTATGTTCTTTACTCAAGGTACTCCATTTCCGGTCTCCATTCCTTTGCCTTAGCCAACCTGCATGGCAGGAATGTGCTCCTCACCCCCACCTCTTGTTTCCTTCAAGACACAACTCAAGCACCACCTTTTTCTACACAATGCCTTTCCTGATTCCCCCCCAGCTGCTAATGTCCTAACTGCCTTATGTTTACTTTATATACACTTATAAATGTACATGTCTCCAGATAGAATGTAAACTCCTTGAGGGCAGGAACCATTTCTCTTTTTTTCTTTATATCCTCAGTGCCTAGCAGAGAAGCTGGAAAATAGCAATAAAATAATAAATGAAGATTGATCAATAAGCTCATGTTATTGCAGAAATAATGGAAAGCTGAAAACAAGATAAAATGTTTAAATATGTTGGCTTCTAAAAATACATACTTCACCCCTAATTTTAACAGGTGCTGCGTGGACCTGTGAACAGTTGAGGTACAAGAGTAACGAAGATTTACATAAACTTTGGTAGGTATATTTAGTCTACTTAAGTATTGTGGTTACATCATTGTGAGTGTTCCTCCCACTAAGGTGGATCATAACCTTGCCACCTCATTCTTTAACAGACAGAGTTGGTTGTTGCTGAGAGAATTCATCCTGTAATGACCAAACTTCTGATAACGAGCCTCTTTGGGCCTTGGTGGGCTGGTCTCTAGAAGACAGATGTGGTCCTTTGTTCATAATTCAAACCTTTCTAACTCAGTAGAACCAGCCATATAATCAAAATCCACATGCTCAAGTAGATATGATTAATAATGTAGATCCTTCCAATAATTCAGTGGATCCATATGCTGAAGGCATTGCTTGATTTCTCTCGACTTTATGCGAATACCAGTGGAGCACATGGGTTTCCAGTAATAGTCCTAGTTCTTTGTCACATGACCATTCCCTGCTTTTCTTTCATGAATAACATTCTTGTATTCAGTAGTTCTGCCACATATTTACAACTAATTATTTGAAGCAAATGGAATCTTAGAACTGGACGGGACTTTAGATATCATCTCATCCAATACAAGATTATTATATATCATTTAATAAGGGGGGAATCTTGTTTCCAGCTAGAGTTTCTTTGGTAAAGGCAATCTAGCAAATTCCCTTGTTATTATATACTTGGGATGGAAGTTCCCAGATTTTTATAAGACAGAGATTCACTGGGGATGGGGAGTGAACCATGGTGTTTTACTCTGGATTATAGGCCATAACAACAAACTATGTAGCATCCTGTTTTAGTATAATTTTGTTATGAATAATAAGTGGAAAGAAATAGGAGCAGAATTGATTTCATGAACGCAGCTTCATTCCCACCCTTTTACTACTTCAAGTTTTGGGTCCTTTTATATGCTGCAGTTTTTCTAGGTGGTTTGAGAATTTAGGTGGAGTTTAATTCATAATATTCACCTATAATTTTAATTGGAAGGAGAGAAAATAAAAAATGTTAGAAGATAATTAGTTTAATGGGTAGATAAAATAACTATAAAGGGCTCAGAAAAACCATTCCTTATGTAGGATTATTCTTTGTTAAGAATTGTATCAACAAAGCAGTGTTACTGTTTCCTTTATCTGTCTGTTTGGGCCATATTCAAACTCAGCCGGCCTAAAACTAGTCATTTGCTTTTCCTCCCCTCCTTAGCCTGGTATTTGAGGCCTTCTACATACAATTCAACCCCTATTAGATTTTCTAGCCCTTTCTCTGAATACTGTTTCCTTACATGAACTCTCTCTAAGCAGATGAGTCTGCTCAGAGTTCCCTGAAAAATCCCCTGTATTTTTGCTCATGCTGTTTCCTCTACTTGGCATGCCCTGCCATCTCGACCGAGATAAATCCCTCCCCATCCTTCAAATCCAAAATTAAATCCTCCCTTCTCCAAGAAACCTGTTATATTTACCTCTGTCAGAAATGGGCACTTCCTTCAAACTCCTGTATGATTTAGTATCTGTACTGCTACTGTGTCATTTATCAAATACTACCTTGTGTTGCACAAATGTTAGTACATCTCTCTCCCCAACCAGGTTATAAAGCCTTTGGGGAAGTAGATGTGTTGTCTTGTTTTTCTGTATTCTCCACAACTTTCCACATGGTAGAAGCTAAATACTTGTTGAATGAACGAACAGATGGGAACATAGTTTTGTTGTACAAAGCACAAAACCTTGAACATAGTAATGTTTTTTAAATCAAATTGAATTTTCTTCCCTGTAGTGGTAATCAGCTAAGAGAACTTTTGTGGGTTTTCTAAGAAATGTTTGTGTGCAGAACAGTAATTCAGTTGTCAGAAATCAGTACTTTTATAAACATGTTCTGGTGAGTTACAAGCTTTATTATATTCTTTGGTTTAGGTACGTCCTACTGAAAGAAAGAAATATGCTTCTCACTTTAGAGCAGGAGGCCAAAAGACAGAGATTGCCAATGCCGAGTCCGGAGCGATTAGACAAGGTAAGATTTTGGGAAAGTGGAAGAAGCTGGAGTTTGGTGTTAAAAAACTGAAGAAGCAGGTGGTGGTTCTTTTGTCGTTAGACTCAGTTGGTTATTGACCTATTCATAATGATAGCAGTCAGCACGGACCATTTTTAGTCTTCCTACATCAGATCAGATTCTACTGCCTTCTTTCGGCCACTTTTTTCTCTCCACACTTTCTTTATGAGAAGTGGACTCTGTGTCTATGGAAGAAATTAAGAGATGATAGAATAAAACCCAGATTATAAGCCTTAGTTCTAGGGAAAGTCAGCTTCACTTAGTGAAAATTCTGAGTTACAGAGAATTTTTTCAAGAAATACAAGTTTTTCATTTTTGATACAGGGTGTCCCAAAAGTCTGAGGGCAGTTTTAAACTACTAAAGTTTGAAAATTCCAAGCTTTAATAGCCTAAAACTGCACTTAAAATTTTGGGACACCCTGTCTATATATAGCCCTGCTGACAGGAAGAAACACATGTCCCCAAAACCCTTTCAGAGAGTCCACCAGGACGAAGCTTTTTACTAATTACTGAGACGTTTTAATTTCTAACATGGTTAAGTATCAGTAGATATAATCTGCATAAACAAAAGCTCTTTGAAGGGGTCCTCAATAATTTTTAAGAGTGTAAAAGGTCCCTAAGACCAACAAGATTGAGATGCACTGAGAGCATCTTGTGAGTGAAGGAACAAATAAGACAAATGAGAACTCTTTGTAAATACCACCTTATTGTTTAAATTGTTTAAAGGAAAAACTTTTGCTAAAGTGGGCACTTCAAAGGAGATTGTTGGTCTTTATGGGTTTCCTTCCCTTCTGTCCCATATCCCCTTGTAGTCTGCCTTCTGACCTTATCATTTAACTGAAACTGCTTTCTCCACGATTCCTAGTAATCTATTCAGTGCCCAAATGGATGACCCTTTCTTCTCCCAAAAATCCTTTTTCCTTTGGGAGTGCTTCTTCCTGGTTCTCCTCCATCCTGTCTGGTAGCTCTTTATCAGTCTTCTTCACCGGATCATTATCCTTAACCCATTCCTCATTTACATGTGTGTCCCCATTCTTTGCTTTTGGTTCTTTTCTTTTCACTCTCTAATGTCTGTCCTTGTGACCTCATGAGCTTCCGTGGTTATAAATATCACCTTTATGCAGGTGACTCCCAGATCTATATTCAACATCTACAGATGCTTATGGGGGCAAGCTGGTTTAATTTGGTTTCAGGCCAAACTTTCCACAGTTCTGTTTTTTCCTCAATTGCTTTTCACTTTTTTTGTGAAGTGACACTGCTTGTAATCGTTGATCATCCTTCTCTAAAATGGTTTGTAAAAGTGGGTTTTTGGTCAGCTTTGTTTTTCCAGTGTGATTACCTAAATGAAGCTTACATATTTTTGTTCATTTCACTGAGGGAGGGTTCATCATATCCTTAATACAATAAGTATTGCACTATCTGTCCTTCAGAGCATTTGGAAAACTTTGCCATCGGGAGGGAATTCTTTTGTTTGGAAACTATCGGATATATATCTCTGATTCACATGATGTCAATACCCAGTGGATCACTGAAATGTTCATTGGTCTGAATATATATCATGACTTTTTTTCTCCAAATCTAACTTGTATAAAACCTACATGGTGCCTGTTACCTATTCGTTTTTCAATATATTTCTGTATAGGTTTCTTTTGAAAGATTTAATGAGGGCCAGGGAGTGAACTGTATTTGGACCAATATGGTAATGGAGTCTTTAATAATGTTAATAATTCACAAGAGATACCTTGTCTGATGAAGGCCTCTTAGGTCCACTATACTTCTCGGGTCAGTTGTGTGAATATAAAGATAAAGTGACTCTCCTGTAGAAAATTTCCTGTTAAAAAATCTTCCTAATCCTTTTTCTTGTTTTTCTCAATGTGCACATAGACTAGTCTCATAAAAATTTCATAGAGATTAGAAAGTAGGCAGATTAAGTTGGTAATTGTTCTTGCCTTATTAGTCACCTTTTTTATGCAAGGAGAGTAAAAGCAACATTTATGATCTTTCCCCTTCTTTTGGTATTTTTTCCTTTTTGAGATATCTGGAAAATTGCTCCCTGAATTTTTAAAAATTCATTGTTTCCACCCTGGATTTCTTATTCTGTATTTGTCTAACCTCGTGTTTTTTATATGTTTTTCTGGCACATTACATATTGATTTATTATAGGATGATTAGTAACGGCATTTGAATGTGTATTTGGAGGAGTTTCTGTAATCCTGGCATTATGAATTAGCTCCTTATGTGTAATTGCTCACTTAGGCAATAGAGACTTATCCTGAGCCTATCTCCAAATTGCTGAACTGTTTGTTGTAGCAACAGAATAGTATTTATTGACAAGCCCAAGCATATATGATTTTAGATTTGGGAACAGAAATCATAGACTCTGCTTCACAATATGACAAGTTTACAGCCTCATTCCTTTCTGCAAGTTGCCATGGTCCTAGCATGTAACTTTAGCTCCTGATTATAAATAGAAATGTATGTGTTGCCTGGAGAATGCATAGTTTCAAGAGCTGGAAAGAACCTAAAAGATCATCTAGTCCAACTTCCTCTTTTTTACAGATGAGTTAGCTGAGGCAAAGAGGTAAGTGACTTACCTGAAATCCCAGAGTAAGCAACAGAGCCAGCAACTCTGTGTTCTTTCTGCCAGTATCTTTATTCCCAAGAAAGTAAACAAGAACTGGAAAAGAAGGCTTTTTTTTCCTTGTAAACTGTATTTTTTTCTGTAGTTCCCCACTTGACTCCTCTCCTGTTAGTATGGAAAACTGAGTGTTAGTTTCATGGATTTGGGACTCGAGAACAGTAGAATTGAGCTAGAAGTCTTGAATCTGGATCTTATTCCTCCAGATCATCAGGTTGCATTGTGAAGGTCAAAGTTGGTCAGTAGTCATGTATTAAGTGCCTACAAGATGCACAGCCTGTATATTCACTTGCTGGCCACTTTACTAACTTAAGTCTATCTCTTTTAAATATAGGATCTGTCACATTTTTTTACTTCCCAAAAACATTGTAGGAACAAACAACTTATATTTATAAAAAGTAGAATATATCATTGGAGGTGAAAGTTCATCCAACCCTCTAATTTTACAAATAAGACAACTGAGGTTCAGAGATTAAAGGTACATTAAATACTATTACATTTATTAGGAGTTTTAATTGACCAAGTTAATGCCAAATCTACATTGATAATATTGGTAGCGTCAGCTTAGTTAAAATACATAATGGTACCTCATACCGATGAACTACAGCATGTGTTAAATGAAGTTTCCCCCAAATGTAACCACATGCAGTTATGACTTTGTTTTAAATGAACCCAATAATGAAAATCTAGATATGTTCACAGATTAGTTAAGAGAGTATTTGTTGACACAAAGTATCACCATAAGATTGGCTTGACACATTCTTTGGAATTCTGTGGCAAAAGATTCTGTTTAACTTACCTGTTACTCTTCTCTTCTTAGGTGTCAGAGTCTATGGATGCTTTGGATAAAGTTATTCAGGAAAGAGATGATGCTTTGAGACTTCTTCAGACAGGTCAAGAAAGGCCAAGACCAGGTGCTTGGAGAAAAGACATTTTTGGACGGATCATCTGGTATGTACATAGATTATGCTCTCATTTTCTCCTAAGGTCCTCCAGGGTGAGTATGTGCCTCATTATTCTGTGTGTACTGGGCACCATGCCACTGTTGTGCTCACCCAGAGCTTCCTAAACAACAACCACAAAATCAGAGGATGGGAAATCACAAAACCATCATACTTTCAGGAAATATGCAATATAAGTAGAGGTATCCCAGTCCCAAGACTTTTTCGTACTCCCGCAGCTGAAAAATCAATCTTGACTTACTGACAAAAGTAATAGAGACCCTTCTTCAGTTTGTAATTTAATTCTTTGCTTTATCTTTCTTTCTCTAGAGAGCAATATGTAATCATCTCACCTCAGAGCACACACATCCAGTTCCAGGTGTACCTTAGTAACTTGAGATTGCAGGCTATTTCATGGTGTTTCTATACCCAAGGCCACATACTCTTTCACCAGCATCTCTCTACAGTTTTCTACCATTACTCTCAAAAGCTTGTGCCAAGTATGAAGTAGGTCAGATTTATATTCATTGGCTCGTCTCTCCTTTCTGAACTTTCAACGCCCTCTATTATGCTGTTTGTCAGATGACTAATAGAACAGAAATTGGAACGGAATCAGAAATTGGGCTTTTAATGGTGTTTTTTCTTCCCTTAAAGCTCTGATCTTTCATTGTGCTATTGAGGTGACCCTAGATTCTCAAAGGTCATGCCTTTTGGATACAAACTCTGGCAAGTCATCCCATGCCCATTGAGGTGGTCTGAGAATCGGCCTGAATTCAGAGTGGTCCCTCACCTGAGGCCACAACAGATTATCAGATGCCAGAGAGGTAACAACCCACCTTAGTGGAAGGAGGGGCTCTCACAAACAAAATCACAGATCACATGAAGTCTTAATCACTTTGTGGATTATAGAGCAACTCCTTGTAACTCTCCAGTCATCCTGATCTGTATCTGGCCACTGGACCCAGATGGCTCTGAAGGAGAAAGTGAGGCTGGTGACTTTGCACAACGCTTCTTCACTTAAATCCAATTCACTTGCAAGTCATGGCATCACCTTCCTGATGTCATAGTCCTCTTCGAGAAAGAAGAACAAGCAACAACAGCCACCACTCACTCATATCTAAACATGGAGAGTAAAGCTACTAACATTTTAAGTCAAGAATCAAATATGTCATTTAAGTGAAAATTGAAGTTTAGCACAAAGAAGGGTAAACAAATGGATATGCTCTATCTAAAAGGTGATGCCATATATGTTTTATCCACAGGCACAAGTACAAGCAGTGGCCAATACCTTGGTACCTAAACAGAAGATACAACAGGAAAAAGTTCTATTCGATGCCTTATGTGGAACAGTTTGTCAGGTAGGCACAGTGATTTTGTGAATGAACATCTTCTGTAAACCATAGGACAAAATTGTAAGGAGACCTCTTTGGATGTTTTGTGAAATAGCAATCACTAGGTGTGCAAGGCGCTGTCCTAGGTGATGGGGATATAAAGAGAAAACTGAATGATCAGACCTCCATCTTGAGGAGAAGAAATTCTACTGTGAGGACACAACATATAAAAATGAGTATAAGCATCATACTTTGAAGGAGGAGAGAGTGCTAATGGGGAGGGGGGATCAGGAGTGGCTTCCCATCAGAGGTGGCATGGGAACTGAGCCTCCAATGAACCTGTGGATTCTGATTCAATTCAGAGCATTTATTGGGGGTTCCTGTGTGCCAGGCATTGTGCTTGGGTGAAGACAATTCCTGCTAATGCACAGTTTGCATTCAGTTGCAGGGAAGCAGCATGTACACAGATCAGTAATTTAAAATATGTTTTTAGTGGGGTAGTACTAATACATGGGAAAGATATAGAATAGGTACTTGAGCTAAGCCTCAGTGGAGCAACAGATTCTAAGAGGGGGAAAAAGCACATTCTAGACAGGGGCCCAGCTTGGGCAAAGGCCTGGAGGCAGAAGATGGAATGTCAAGGATTCTTGAATGGAAATAGTGTGAAATAAACCTGGAAAACTGTTGCAAGGGATGGTTTTAGTTTTTAAATAAATTATTGAAAGAAACTTGGCAGGTAGGGTCGACTGGAGTCCCTTAAGTTCACAGCCTTGGAGACATACTGGATTCTTCAGTCTCTGTATCTAGTCCATCAGTCATTAATTGTTGTCAGTTGTACATTCTTATCTTCTCTTGAATCTTTACCCTCACTTGACCACTACCCAGTGTCCTCATTGTCTCCTCCAGTCTCTCCCTCCTCCTCCTCCTCCTCCTCCCCCCTTTTCAAATTGACATTCCCAAAGCACTCCCTAGCCATAGCACTTCCCTCCGTTGCTTCATGTGTAAAATGGAAACCCATATGTTTTGGTACTCATGACCCTTATGATCTGGACCCAGCCTACTTTTCTAAGATTATTAGACCTTACTCTTTTTCATGGACTCTTAAGTTCAAAACAAACTGGCCAACTTGCAATTGCCCATAGACAGCAGCTTTGCCTTTATGGAGGCCACCCCTGCCCAGCATGTGATAGTTTGGCTTCCTAGGTCAGACCCCCAGGCTTCCTTCAGAAAAGCATAAGTGCTGTTCCTGTACAGGGTCCAAATCGATCACTCCAGTTATTAGTAATTCTAGATAACTTGTTCTCTTTCCCGAATCACTCCTGAATTGACTTGTGTATGTGGTGTTCTCCCTATACTTGTTTTTTTGGCTTTGTATTCCCAGCACATAGGGCAATTTCTGGCACAGCCACTTAGTAAATTGCCATTGATGAGTGAGTTAAGCAACTATTTAACGTCAGCTGTTCAGTTGTTTCAGTCATGTCTGACTGTGTGACTCCATTTGGGCTTTTCTTGACAAAGATACTAGAGTGGTTTGCCATTTCCTTCTCCAGCTCACTTTACAGATGACGAAACCGAGGCAAACATATATATCTCATAGTATATCATAGTGTATCTATATCGCCATGCACATGGATTACTGGTAAATCTCCCAGCTGATCTCCCTGCATCCTTTTTCTCTCTTCCACTCCATTCAGGCAACACTGTAAGACTATTCTTACTATAATACTACTTATAGTGTTGGGGTGGGGGGGAGTGACTTGCCTAGGGTCACACAGCTAGTAAGATGTCTGAGGCCAAATTTGAACTCTGGAAGAGGAGTCTTCTTGACTCCAGATCCAGTGCTCCATCTACTGAGCCACCTGGCTACCTTCATGTCAGCCAATGCTTAGAGAATGAGATGTAGCAGAAAGTCAGGGAGCTTGACCTGAACTGTCAAGAGTCTGAGTCAGCATTAATGAAAAAAAGTCAGAGACAATATTGTGTCCCACAGCAGCTTTTTTATACTGCAGTTCTTGAAGGAAACAGGACTTAATGACCCATTTCTAGCTTTCTTCCCCCAATTACCACCAGCCTCTGCTTTTCAGAATTTCCCAACTAGGTCTTAGACAGTGACCCCATCATCTCTATCATTCAACCCTTATTTCCTCAGTAATTCCTTCAGCTGTAGTGTCTCATGTTGAGTTTTCACTTCAGAAAACCAGAAATGTTAAACATTACTTTACACTTTTGTAAATATGGATTACTTAGCTATTACTAGTTTTTTCCCCCCAAGTGTTAAAATGGGCCACACAATCTATATTAGGTAGATGGTATGTAAATTAACATATATGTATTCTGCCTAGGACTTCTGGCTTAATGTCCCCTTCCAGCTTCTATTAGTGGTGTTTATCTCAGGCAAAAAAGTAGTCTTTTTTACTCATTTAGACTCTTAATGCTAAAAGGGCCTAGTTTAGCTTTGTATTCTCAATAATCAGCTAGAAAGGTTCCCTGTTCACTCACCAAAGAAGAAAAGAATAAGATTAAAATCACAAAGGGTGTTTTCTGTCCTTCAACATAGAACTGCTTTTTCCCTAACCAAAAGAGTAGTTTTCCTTAAAAGAGAAAAAAACCTTCCCTTTCACCTCCCTCCCCCAACACTCAGTATTACTTTAAGTAGGGGAGTATTTTTAAGATTCAAGGTTGTTGGCAACCTGCAACTCATACCAACTTTAGTGAGAAGAGCTGGTAATTGAGGATGGGAAGATTTTTTGTTGTTGTTATTTTTAGTCATGTCCAATTCCTCGTGACCCCATTTGGGGTTTTCTTGGCAAAGATACCAGCATTATTTGCCACTTGCTTCTCCAGTTCTTTTTATAGATGAGGAAACTGAAGCAAGCAGGGTTAAGTGACTTGCCTAGGGTCACACAGCTGGGTCTGAGGCTGAATTGGAATTCAGGAAGATAAGTCTTCCTGACTGCAGGTCCAGCACTCTTATCTACTGCCTCCACCTAGCTGCCCTTGAGGGAGATGTTAATAAGCAAGTATGTTTATCATTATCATTGTCTTCACCACCAATGGCAACACGTCTTAAACCAGGTTTAAGACCCAAGTCATCTTTGTCACTTCCCCTAAAGCCAATTAATTGTGAAATCCTGTTGATTCTCTTGAAAGGTCTCATCTTCTTTTTTTTTTTTTTTTAAAACACATTACCACTATTCTTACCCAGCTGATCTCCCTTCATCCTTTTTCTCTCTTCCAATCCATTCAGGCAACACTGTAAGACTATTCTTACTATACTACTACTTATAGTGTTTGCTCCCCATAGCACACAGGATTAAATCTGTGCTTTACCTCCTAGCATTCTAAGCCTATCACAGTACGATCCTACACTGTCTAACTAATCTTTATTTCCCACTGCTTATTTGGTATGGTCCCTCTTATTTCTTATTCCAAGCTTGTAATCTCATTCTTTCTTGAACATACTTTGTTCATTTGTCTCTCTCAGACTTTGCTCATGATGTATCCTTTTTACAGTGTTTCCTTTCTGCATCAGACATGTGGGTCTTTAGGGACCCACACAGTAACCATCTACTCCGAATAAAATCTCCACTGCTGATGGTCCGTGCTGATTTGACCAAATTTGATCCATATTTTTTAACAATCATATGAGGCTGATTGCTGTTTCTCAGGATCTCTATCTTGAAATTGCCTTGGGGGCCTATGCTACATTTTAAGAAGTACTCCTTGGTAACATCTTCATCCTTTAACCCTTGATTTGCTTTTTGAAAATTAGCCAAAGTGGGGGCAGCTAGGTGGTGCAGTGGATGGAGCACCGGCTCTGAAGACAGGAGGATCTGAGTTAAAATCTGGCCTCAGACACATAACACTTATTAGCTGTGTGACCCTGGGCAAGTCACTTAACCCCAACTGCCTCACACAAAAAAAAAGAAAAGAAAAAGAAAAATAGCCACGGTGGCAGAAAAGCAAGAAGTATGGCAAACTCCTCTCACCACCACCCCAGCTCCAAAAAAACAGGTCTAGAGAATGCGCCAGGTTGAATCCTGACTGGGAAATCCAAGAAAAAGTCACAATGAGTTATTTTCCAGACCAGGTCAAGACTGGGTTTGTGGTTCAGAGTCAGTACTTATCACAGGAAAGAGACACCTGGCACAGTAGCAGGTGTTAAAGTCTTTGTGGAATTGAGGCTGTATGAAAAAATCAGTTACATCTTGTATTTTACTAACCCATCATTCACGTACACTAAATATTCCAGATGTTGGGCAACAGTACATCAGTACATGTAGGCCTCAAGTCATATAAGGAGAGAGAAAAGAATGGCTCCCTAAGTAGATCTAGATCAGGTGATGGATATGAGGGAAAAAAGCATTAGTTGTACTTGTCCAATTGCTGCTCTGCTTTTTTATTTTAGACTGAGGCTTGAGAAGTACTTACGTGGTGAAGCCAAGAAGAAGAATTTGCAGAAGAAGAAAGAGAAAATGCTTCGAAGTAAATTTCCACACATGTCTGTGGAAGCCCAAAATTGAAATCTAACCAAGGATACAGTGGACTCCTTTTCTTTTCCTACTACTATTTCACCTCAGTAAAATTGAACTTTTCACTTAAGTTTGTAATTTAAGGCTGGCTGGTAAATATGGCAAACTCATGGTAAGTGATTTATTAAAAAAAATTTATTTCAGTCTTATGAAGTTTGACTATTCCTTCCTAATTCTGCCAAATGCTTTTCAAATGTTCATAACTAAATCTTAATTTCTATTCTAATTTCTAAGACATTTTAATTTCGTCCTGCTAGCAATGTAAGGTTGATATAACCTAGCCAGGAATACAGGATTGTAGGATTAAAGGAGTTTTGATTGTCCAAAGCAGCAAGTCACCACAGTTTTGTTGATTTTAACATAACCAAAAAGTCCGTCCTTATAGTGGATAGAAATCTTTATTATTTAGTTTTGCAAGTATGAGGTAAAGGTATAGGCAGTAAATTTTACTAGTCAGTAAAAATCAATTCTACCAATCATTTGAAAATCAGTATGCTAATCAGAGGGTTGAAAGCAGTTTACTAAAAGGAAAATATTTAGAGAAAATAGATATTTATACAAAAATTATAAAATGCTTATAGGAGTTATTGCTTTACAAGGAAGGCAAAAACTCATTTTAAGTTATATGGCCAGCTAAAGGCTTTAAAATTTGTTAAATGGAAATTGAAGTATGTAAAAATGTATAAACATTCTACAAAAGATGTTCATTTTTGTTCCTGAGTATACTAAAGCTATGAAACATAAGGGATCACAGGGAAGGCCACAGTTTTTTTTTTTCTTCAGAACTGACTTCATGGGCATTTCCTTTCTACACATTGTTTTCCTCCTTCTTCATATTCTTGTTTGGAAATCCACATCTGTTGAAAGGTACCCTGTGAAACAGAGAGAAAGAAACATGTATCAGATCCCATTTTCAACCTCTAAAATTTCATCTAGTTCATACTGTCTTTTAAACTCACTTGGAAATGACCAACCACTAGCAAGGAAAATATGGAACAGGGCAAAAATATGAATGCATCTACCTTCTCCCAGGCTTTTTCTGTAGACTTGTGAGGCAGAGGTAATCACCAACACATACTACCCTTGCTTAAGGCTAGAGAGGGTTGTTGACCCCTTCCATAGGCCCACAGTTCTGTGATACTAATCAGGGATAGATACATGTACTTAAAGTGAAGATGACCAGTGGCATGGTTTCAACCTAGAGAAATAGCAAGTTGGTAGGATTCTGGGACTAAATGTTTATGTTTCTATTTTATTAGTAATCTAGATTATAGTAGAATGGGGGGAAAATTTTTATGTAATGACACGTGAAATTGCTAATACCTTTACACAGAAAGTTAAATGAATTTTTACAAATCAGAGAAGTCATAAAACAGTCAAGTTATTACTCTTCCAGAAGATCATGAGTAGGGCTTTTTCTTTTTTTTTTAAGATAAGATTTTAGCCTCTAAGTAAGTAGAACTTAAGCAAAACACTTAAGTGTAAGGAAGACATAAGTGTTTGTATATAATTCTTCTAATAGACTCTTAGCAGGGATTGTGGGAAGTCTATCTTTTAAAGAGCTGTCTTTAAGATCATCCTTTTACTAATTTTATATATTTTGTATATTAAGATGACACATTAAAATTCCCTGTACCAACTCTGAATCTAAAAATAGTTTATTTACAAAATCCTTTCTGGCTATTTCTTTTACTTTGCAAAGAACTTGACTCAGCCAGAATTAATGGTAAACCAAAAGAAAATAAAACTACAACAAGCCACTGGCCTGAGGTCCACAATGATAACAATGCCAACAGTACACATTTACAGATTTCTGACATGTGTATAAGGCTCCATGATGTTACCTAGGTGTTAACATGCAACAGACTTGGAATTATCAGATATCTGACTTATTTCAGAAAGGGAATCAATTTGAGGAATCATCAGTGATGTGAGGGACAGCCTTTTATTTTGCTCCATGACACCAGAGTTATTATTCTGGGGCCTAAGACTATACAAGCAGCTTTGGCATTCAGTGAATTATAAATTATAGTTTTTAAAATAATTTTAATCACTGAGAATTCTCTTTTTAAATATGCAAAGTATCTTATATACCAACCAGAGAGGCTAGAATTGAGCCACCAATCCACGAACTAAATCGTCGTTCCACCGTTGTGTTATTTGCAATCAACTTCAGTCTCATGCTCTAAAAAGAAAAGGGGGTGGGGGAGTGGGGGTGGAGAGAAGCATCAATAAGCTTAGACCAAACAGATGGCACAACTCTGGGAATTTAACCCCCTAAGGAGAAAAGATCTCTAGATAGTTCTGTCAAGTCATTTTTAACAATACATTTTCCCCATGGTTCAAACATTGCCTGTATGCTAACTTTTCAAGAGGGAAGATTTAGGTAATTAACAGGATTAATAGCCAGTCAACACTGGCTTCTAAATATTACATACATGCAATGGATAACACTCACATGTGGCAAGATTTTTTCATGTATTTGATATGTAGGTTTTGGAAGAATTAACAAAGCAAAAGAAAGAAGTGAGGCAAATACTTGTGAAGATTCATCATAAGAATTAAATATCATCCTGATGTGTTGTTCCCTACATCCCCAAAGTTAGAAGTTTACTTATTCAGGCATCTGAAATTACAACTTTTTTCAACTGTTCTAGTTTGGGTTCTACTACTTAACTAAAGCTAACTTAATCAAGTCCCTGAGCTTTACAGTTTTCTTCTCCTTCTGAGGCAACAGGATTTAGCTGTTGTTTTTAAATAAAAGGGGTTTTATCTTTTAAGGTTTCTTTATATTCCAATTGAATGTAATGATTCAGGTATGCTACAAATCAATCTGTCAGTCCTCTTCTCCCCTGCTGCCATTTGAATAAAACTGAAAAAATATGGCTAGCTTTTGTGGTAGATAGCAATCCTGTCCCTCTACTGATACTCTGCACTAATTTTAAGGATGCTTATAATGTGACTGTATGAAGGATCCTGTACTGTGCATACAATGTAGGTTCCAACCCACATAGGATTTAGCAGATAGTGCCTACCAAGGGAGAAGCTTGAGGCACATAAGAATAAAGAGTACTTGGGGTCACACATAGTTGGTGTCAGGGACAGTCAGGCCCAGACCTTTATTATACACACTGCCTTTTTTTATTTTTTAAAAAGAAAAAAAGATTTCCTCACTCTTTCCTTCACAACTGTATTCAGCTAGCAAAAAAGATTCCTTTGGAGGTCTTGCATATCCATCCTACCCTGAGGGCCTGGAGCTCCGAGTGAGATGTGACAGATAAGAGAATGATAACAGTTGTATAGAATGGTTAGTTACTACATGTAATGCATCTCAACATAGTTCCTACAGAAAGCCAAGTCTGTCAAACACCAAGTGCTTTTCAAAAGTCACAGTGACAGTTATTCACGTTCAATGCACCCGTTACTCCTGTTTCCATTTGTTTAATCTTGATGTAACAAGTGAAAGGCTCAAATCATTTGACAGCTAATGATGGAAAAATTTGAGAACATACTTTGCACCACTAATCAACCAAAGAAACAACTTTTGTCTCAATAGTCCACCAAGAATAAGAATACACTTGAACACATGGTTCAGAGCAAACCACTTACCGGAGGTGTCTTCTGAGACAGCTCCCGATTCAATCTATCAGTGAAACTCTGTATCAGAGTGTTTCCTCCTGCCACTATGACACTGCCATAAAGCCCCTAGAAAAAGGCAAGAAAAATCCATTGTTCAAATGTTTCCAAAGATTTAAGTATAAGCTGTGAATCAAAGAGACATCTCCACTATTTGTTTTCTAATTTAATTTTTTTCTATGACTTTTTATGGGCTAGAGTTTAGGTACAAATAAACATTAGCTAAATTAGTAACAAAAATCTGTCCTCAAAGCCTGAAGCACCTGAACCTTGGGAAAGCAGAAAGTAGAAAGAAAAAGTAGAAATAAATGCAGCCTACCATTAGCATATTACATTATAAAGCAGTAACTAGCAGGTCTGTTATTATTTTTAAAAAACAATATATTAATGAAATCAGCTGAATAAAGCAAGACCTTGAAGTAACTGAACAATTGCACAAATAAACCAAGAACACAAACCAGGAGGGGAAATACTTCCAGTTCAACCAGAACTACTAAGAAAACTGGAAAAGTAATTGGGTACAATTAGATTAAAATCAGTATTTTACACTACAAGCTATCAAACTCAAGACCTGCTCCAAGGACAGCCTAAACCAGATTAAAATGTAATTTGGAAATGTTTAACAAAATAAAAATACAACACAGATAATGTTAATTTCTGGTTTTCTAAGTCAATATGTAGCCTGTAGGGATCTGTTTCTATTTGACTTTAAAACCACTTGTCATACCATATATCAACTTCTAATGTGTGGATATAGCAAGGAACTACTTTCAAATCTATTAGGCTAAAATTCATAACTAAACAAGGAATAGATACTTGTAATGATAGAAGAAGGCACACCAAAAACAAAATGTGTTTTTGATATAAAATTAAATGATGGTACTAAAACAAGTTAGAAAAAAAATCTTCGAATTAAATATCCCCAATAAAGGTCTGTGATTCAAGAAATGCAGAAAGAATTGATAAAAATATGTAAAAGAAAGGTCCATTCCCCAATAAGTAGTGGTCAATAGATATGAACTAGCAGTTTACAGAAGAAATGCAAATGATCAAAAACCACAAAAAAAAGGTTCCACGTTACTAATAAGACACATGCAAATTAAAACAATTCAGGTTTCATTTCACAAACAACAACTTGGGAAAGATAATACAAAATGAGGATATTCAATGTTGGAAGGGCAGTGGGAAGACAACATTAAAACCCTGATGGCAGAGCTGTGAACTGGTCCAAGATTCTGGAAACCATTTTGGAACTGTCATAGAAAAGCAACTAAAAACTGTATACACTTTGATCCACAGACACCATTATTTTAACTCATAGCAAGGAGAGCCAAAACAAAGGGAAAGTTTGTTCCTATGTATATAACAAAATACAGCACTTTTTGTGGTAGCAAAACTAGAAACAAAGGTATTCATCAACTGGGAAATGGTTAA